GTACTTTTTGCACTCGATTTACTTTGTAAGAATATAAAAACAAAACTATTAAGGCATGGATTTTCCTATTGACTCAGTTAAATATTATTTATTATAATACTCATAAAAGCTTCAATATAAGTCGAAAGATTTCTATCAAATTAATAAATGATTTTGTTTTTACGTATGTATGCTCAGTTTGTGGTTTATTGAATAAGTATAAAGAGAAGTATGCATGCTACATGCGGTCTTATAGATTCTTACAGTATAATGAGAGTAAATAATATTGTTGCTTAATATTATTAGTGTTAATAATATTAAGCATTATATATGTGTTAAGCATTATAATTAACATGTTACAAGTGTTTTTATTAATTCGATGTGTCTAAGTATGTTTATATTATTGCGAATGAGATGTGTCACTGCGACCGTCGGGTCTATTATGTTCCCTTCTATGTTTAGAATAAGTCTTTAAGCCATGTTGCGCAAGGATGCAGTGACGCGGTGACAGGTTCCCAACCCATTTTAAAAATCTAATCTAATCTAAGTCCTGTTGCGTCGATAAAGAGTAGTACAGAACCTACTTTACAGAATTCTGTTGCCTCATCTGTAAAGGTTTACATTCCCAGCACTCCATATGTGCACTAGCGCAAGGCATTCTAACAGCACATTTGTGGATGATATTCTCTTCGCAAAATCTATAGTTTCATCCGTATATATACCCAGTCTTGTAAAGTGATATTTTAGTATACAGTACCCTGTTAAGATTCACGTAAATTTTAAGTTTTTTTTTTCGATAGGTCCCTACAATTCTGGTATCTTCTATTGTTATAGGGACCTGAAAGTGATTTGGATTGTGTTGGTACTGTATTATCCCAGTAATTCTTTTGTTCTTGTTTTTTTTTTTTTTATGAAAGAAAGGAGGGTACTGTGTCTTAATCCACAGAATAGTGCCAGTATGTCCCGGTACCTAGAGATTTGATACCTGATACGATTCGCTGAGCAGATTTAGCTTGTCAGTGTCTACGTGTAAGTATTTAAATATTTTTTGTAAATTTAAAAGCTTATGTCATTTGGACATATAAATTTTCTAAAGAATAAATCCATTAGAGTTTAATAAAAATTTAACATACTTTTATTTTAATAATGACAATCAACAAATGTGGGTTGATAATAGAGAGCTGCGTCACTTGGATGCACATAGTCATTTTAATTTTTTGGCTTAAACTATTTATGGTCCTGAATTAAAAAATTTTTTTGGAAAGATGTGGTAAAAATAATTTAAATGAAAGTAGAAGTTGAATATAGGAACTATTGTAGTCTATGTAAACATTATTGACTATTATATGGAAGTCCTTATATCCAAAGCTGTGTATCTGCTCTAAAAAAAACGTCGATCCGATTTATTTACTTCAACAAAATCGGAACTAAACTAGGTTTTTATAAATGATTACTAATAATTAGTTTAACTGTGCCATATTCCAACAAATAGATTGTACAAAAATTGTTGTCTGGTCGAAGTAGAGATAAAATTCATTAATCATTTTCACCGTCATTATTCAGGACTACAGATAAATCGATTTTTATATAGATATTAGTAATTATTAGTTTAACGGTTTCATATAGCGACAAATAGATTGTACAGTTGTCAGGAATCCTTGAATCTATTTTTCTAGCATTGTTCAGGGTTAATGTCTTGGACACTTTTAATGGTGTGGTAGAGATATCGAAAGCCGACATGACGTATCTTCTCAGGTTTCATTGAAGGACCAAATGGCTTAACAAGGATAATATAAGTTAACACTCTCGACCGCTTAGTTTCATTAAGGGTAGAATCATGCGATATTATTCGATTGTCTGATTACTGCCAAACGGGACATCAACTTTTTTGTCTGGAAAAGTTCCGTTTAGCTTTGGTGGCTCGCAACTCCACAAAAGCATGCTCGTTCACTTTTATTTGAGCTTTGAAAGTGGATTTTATTTCAAAAAAATAACTAACTTATACGCAGATAATATCTGATAGTATAACTCGTCCTCAGAATGGGCAATAGATGTCTTCGGGTTGAAGTGTTGGTAGTTTTATAGGCGCGCACTCTCTTCTTCTAATCTACTTTAAATATTATTTAAAATTAATTCAGATTATTGATAGACATTATTTAGTACTGAACGAATTATTCTTTATATTAACTATATAAAGATAAATATATTATTTTAGATATGCCTATACTATATAGTATACTGTAGTATATACGAAGAATATTCATTTTATTGATCATAAAAAAATTATTGCTTTATTAGTGTTAACATATTAATTTATAAAATATTAAAAATTTATCAACTTTTTATATATACCGTTTGTTATATAAAATATACTAACAGGCTTATTAGTTCTCTAACCCCATAATTACTACATTATTAAATTGCATTACGTTGGCAGTTTATCTTTGAATAAATTTTAATACTAAAGTGCACGACACTTGATTCTAATATCAAACTAATATGAGTAAAATTCTTAGAATAAAATAATTATTTGTTATTGAAAGCAAGCCGGAAATGCTCCTATCAGTGACGTATTAGCTTATACGGCGTATAGTATACGTTTAGATACAATAATATTTGAAAACGATATCATTAGAATCATGAATTATGGTTTGGTTTTGGAAATCCCGCTAAAATATTTATATTGCAGGCGGTATACCTAATGTAGATACAGTCCGGTCTATTGTTGTTTATAGCAGAAGAATAAAGACCGGCTTGACTTGTTCTCATTGATTAATGTTTAATTTGAATTTTTTTCACCAGAAAGATGAAATATTTTGATTACAAATGTTGGCAATTTTTTGTTGTAATATCTTGATTGTTTTTATTTTTTATTTTTTGTGAAACATTCTAAGATTTTTTTTAATAATCTAAATAAACAGCAATAGAAAAAATTCTATTTAATTTTTTTTTGAAAAAAAATTCCCTAATTTGATCAATTTGTGATTTTGTACTAAAATTAATTAAAATTACATTTCTATTAGAGATAGAACATATTTTATTATAAAAATATATGTACTTCAATTAAAAATCAAGATTTTAAACAATATTGCAATAATTTTATAATAAATCTCCTATTGTCATGGGTACGAATAAGTGATTTTGATTATGCTAATCCTGGTAGCTCATGCCAGTACTCCTTTTTGTTCTAGTTCTTCATTTTATGAGAAAAAGAGGGAGAGAGGAGAATACTGTGTCTACAAAAAGATTTTGACCCCATTAGTGCTAACTTGGATCTTAATTTTATCATTTCATCATTTACTTGCCTAGAAGAAAAATATGTCCCTACAACGTATTAATCATAGTAAAACTATTTTGCCTTGAAATGAGATGCTTAAAACTTCAGAGTGACAATAGTTTGCGGAATTCAACGTATATATTAATTTATAGTAGTATGTTCGCATTGATTAACTAAAGTATTAGATTCAAGACAAAAGTCTAGATGAAGGGCAAAGAAAATATATAAAACAAGTTTTGAAAGGTATTGTTCAAAAATATAACTCGAAAACATATATAAGAATTTGTCTGAATGATATCGAAGAGAACAACATTATTGTTCCACAATAACACTATAAAAAAGAATATATCTGTTCAGTTCAGGTCTGTTCAGGTTTTTTTTTCACCAAGGACCGCTGTGATTTAGTAGGGACCACAAAATATAATAAACTGTTTGATTATTTTAATATATCTGGTATAATGTATAATGAATTGTATTAATGCACAGGTATACATTATATAGGTTGTAAAATAGGTATATACTTATTAGGAATTTTTTTGTGCTTATTTTCTAATAAGTGTGGTCATAGTGAACAAACTAGACGCTATGTATCCATACTTGTTAAATTTGATTCACGGACTATTTTGAACCATTTAGCTCGCGGACCACCGGTTGGGAACCACAGGTTTAAAATATTCGTGATTAACAATAAATAGGGAATTTTAAATATATTGTTTATACATATTTCTTGACATTTTAATATATAAAATGTCATACAGACTATATACAGACTATATGTTATATATGCGTTTATAAAAGAAAATAAAAACGTGTGTTTTTTAATTAACGCTTTATAACATTTGATTTAAGAAAATAAATCCCTTTCGAAATTAATTAATTATTTTTCAACTATCAATATTTATTTTAAATATTGACTAATATTAAATATTGGTCTATTAAAAATTAAATTATTTATATAGTGGTGGAATCGAAAAGGGAGAGTACTCAACAACAAACTGATCTAATAATATTTGACTGCTTCAATGCAACCTAGTCCACGGTTTCTCAATCGCCATAAATAGTACTACTACCGGTTTGAGCCGTTTGTAGCACTGGTCAGCAAAATATATTTTTATTGTGTTTTCGTGATTAAGGGTATTCTTTTTGAGAAGATTGTTACAGGTTGTTTCAGAATGCATTAAATATTTTACGAGTCCTTGTAAAGATATGATATAAATATAATATATATAGTAATTGTATAATATAATATATATAATAATTATATAATATAATATATATAATAATTCTATAATATAATATATATAATATAGTTTGAAATATACATATATATGAAATATAAATATAAATAATGCATATAAATATAAAAAAAAAATATAAAATATAAATATGGAATATAAATACAAAATATTAGTACATATAAATATAAATTATAAATAAAAAATATAAAAGATAAAAATAAAATAAAATTTAAGATGTTTATTTCCGATCCACAGTACGTTTAAGGTTGAGAAAGACTGAGCTAGGATTAAAACATTTTTATATATTTAGGTGTCGGTTCAAAATAAATATATATCGGGACAGCGACAGCGTAAGGGTATTACTGCTTAAATTTGTGTTTAAGAAAAAGAATAGCAAAAAATGTACCAAGCTTTGATATATTTTTTGAAAGCGACAGGAGGTCCATTAATTTACTCAAACCCATTAACGTTTTAAGTATTCAAAATATACTGAGGTTTCATATCTTTCAATACTATATTAATATTTTTAGCATATTATGACCTATTGTTTAGATATAAGAAGTAAACTACTATAACACTTAAGTGTTTTAATTCTTTAATCATGCTAGAATATATACTATTTTCTAATTCAAAAATTACATTTACTTTCAATTTAGTTTAGTTAAACATTTTTAAACTGTTAGCAACTGACAAGATGGCATTGACCAAATTATACTAAACTTTTAGTTTTATTTGCATATACAATTATTACATTATTACATTATTAATATATATACTAATGCTGTTATAATAAATTATTTATGCATATTAATTTGTGTAGCATTAAAATATCACTCATACGCCACCAACGACATCTGAAGCATTGACTGCGGCTTACCTAGGGTATGAGCTTTTTTTTTTTTTTTGATGAATTGAAAAACAAGTTAAGGAAAGAAAATGTATTTACAGTATTTCGATTTAATGTAATTTAAAGTTCAGATTTTGAATTTAAAAAATGTTTTCACATTACTTTGCTAATAAGTTAAGCAAACTTAATTCTTTGAATCAAATAATTAATGTTTTTTTGCGCATTTATTTTTTTATTTTACAATTTTTGCTAAAGAATCCTATATTTTTTTTGCAATTAGGTTTAAAAAAAAATCA